TGCAATTTTATGGAGGCCTGGTTCCGATTTGCCAGAAGGTCATCCTTGTCGGGAGTCTGAAAGACATGTTGGCGGCTCTGCCGATTTTCACATGCCAGTGAAACTGCAGTTTCTACATGTGCAATGCTCTCTCCGGCTTCACTTCGACTATTGGGAGGGGTGGTAAGTGGCTCGGATTGAAGGGGCAGGGCGGAGTAGCCGGAGGAGATGGCTGAAGAGGAACAACTTGATGATGCTGATGATGCTGATGATGATGATGATGCTGAGGAGGAACAAAAGCATGATGAGGAGGAAGAGAATGGAGCTGGGTGAAGGGGTTGAACTTGAACCGCGGGGGTCCACCATTCGGGATGACGACTGGGCGGAAAAGCCCAAGTGGCCATTTCCCAAAGTACCAGTCCCAGGGAGTAGATGTCACTAAGCTGGTAGCCGGCAAACGAGAATGGATCCATGGTGTTGGATAAGAGCTGAAAAGTTACAGAAGAAAAGAAAAAATGTCATAAAGTGATAAAGCATAAGAACAGCATATATAAGAAGAAAAGTTGGGTTTCGAGAAATCTCTTGTTTAGCGATTTGCCAGAGTTTTCTTGACTCGTTAGCTTGAATTTTGTTGTTGGAACCGATCTTTGAATATCATCACGCAACACTTTCACTCGAAATGGAAGTAAGCTAAACAATTATGAAACAAGACAGTCCTCGAAACCCAACTTTTCTTCGCATACCTTAAGTCATGCCTTGTTTTAGTGACATTTTGACCCTCTTTGTTTAACAGGATGCAACAAGGTTTTGTACTCATGCGGCCTATTGGTGGCAGACCTGTTGACGCTTAGATATGACGTTCAGGCTCACTCAGCCCACGAGATATCAGCCCTCGTTTCGAACGTCAAATTACACAACACACAACCTCAGAAGTCATACTATTTTTTCCCTTTGTTTAGAGGTAACACTAAGCCGCAAAAACCCTACGGCCCTATCATACATGCTATATTGACTCATAACTAAAACAAATAAAAATGAATACACATAAACGGAGACATAATGATTTGTTTAGTTCTCTTTCTCTCGAACTTACACACACACATACACAAATACATGCATTAAACTACCAGTACCCTGACTAATATGAAAGAGAACTAGCCAAATTATTCTGTATCCATGCGTATATTTTTTCCATTTTTTCATTTACGAGTATACATAGCATGTATGGTACAACAAAATAGTGTTATTGACTTGATGTCAACTCGGATCTTTTGTACAAATCAATTTTAGTTATTACGATGCATGTCAAGTGACATGACAGACGAAAGCTCATCTCGTTTATCTTCAAATAGAGGAAGGATGTCTAATGAATTTCGCCAATTTAAGCATCCTATTTGACTCGAACGACGGCAGAACAACGCAAATTGGGAGCCGTCTTCCGGTGAGATCGGCCTATGAATCTACATACGAAATCAAAGTCTCCCCACAGTATTATTTCTAGAGATTCTTTGAAGCCCACCACCAATATATAATATATAATGATGTATCATATACTTCCCCTTATAGGGAGTAGATACATTACTATTAAATCTATAAATATATAATATATAATGATGTATCATATACTCAACCTTATAGGGAGTAGATACATTACTATTAAATCTATAAATATATAATTTATTTTGTATCCATGCCTATATTTTTTCCATTTTTTCATTTACGAGTATGCATAGCATGTATGATAGAACCGGATAGTGTTATTGACTTGATGTCAACTCGGAGCTTTTGTACAAATCATTTTTAGTTATTACGATGCATGTCAAGTGACATGACGGACGAAAGCTCATCTCGTTTATTTTCAAATAGAGGAAGGATGTGTAATGAATTTCGTCAATTTAAGCATCCTATTTGAACTGAACGACGGCAGAACAACGCAAATCGGGAGTAGTCTTCCGATGAAATCGGCCTATGAATCTGCATACGAAATCAAAGTCTTCCCAACAGTGTTATTTCTACAGATTGTTTAAAGCCCGCCACTCCTTAAATATGGGACTAGTGGGTCAGTGCCTCAACCACGAATCGTTCCTTGTTGCCGCCTGATGTAGGCAATAGCCTGTTTTGTTGTCGGGTTGATGAGGGAAAAAGGGGGTTAGGATGATTGCAGAACATATCTGGTGAC